CTGGCGGCAGATGGGGCGAGATTGTCGGGATGGATGTGACAAGTTTGAAATGATTTATGATATGTCAAAATTAAATTCGCTTCCGCAATATTGTTGAATACTCCGTACTGTATATGTTATGAAAAATTATTGGGATTAATAAAGTGTGTTTGAAAAGTTTTAAATTTTTACGATTACCAAGTTAATACTTTAGTCCGGATGGGGCTGCAGACCTGGACGGATTAGAGTGTTACAAAATCTATTCTAAACGCTATTAACTTCATAGTACGGACCTGGATTACGCCGAAATCGAATCGATAGCTCGAACGGAAGACAAATCAACGAAATCAAACGAACGGGTCAAATTGAGTCAAAATACGAAATCGACCAATCAATCCGGCGTGGAGGTTAATCTGCCGGCGATATCAATCCGGGGCAGCGGCTGGATGCGGCGACGGTGACAGACGCCGGCGACAGTGGCGGAGCGGCAGCTGTTGGCGGTCTACCTTGTTCAAAATCGAGGGGATAGAGACAAACCGAAATAGGAAACTGAAGAAGAAGAAGAAGAAGAAACTGACCTGAGCTAAGGGCGACGGCTGGAGGCGACTGGCGGCGCTCGACGGTGATGAGCGGCGGACTTCCGGCGAAGGCGAAACAGCGGCGATTGGCGGCGCTGCAGCTCGATGACGAGGACGACCGACGCTGGCAGTGGAGGCGACGAACGGCAGCACGACGAGGTGAACCGTCGTCGGCGGCGCTGATGCTGACGGCGGACCTCTGGCGAAGGAAGCAGCGGCGGCGATTGTCTGGGGAAGGGCGACCGGCGATGAGCGGCGTCTGGCTCGGGCGACGCCGGCGTGGTCGAACGGCAGGGAGGATGACCGGTGGCTGGCTCACGGCGGCGATCGAGAGCGACAAAGGTGGAGATGAAGATGAAGATGAGGATGCCGATCATGCGGCTCTCGGATCTGGACGGAAGATAATAGGTTTAGGTTTTATTTAATGATCCCATTCCTAAAAGGATTGGGCTTCGGACCCAAAATACCTGATTAAATGGTCATAACATGAGCTCCATAACTCCGATTCGCGAGCCATCTGAACCGACGCGATCACAAAAATATTTCCTACGAGATGACATAAAAGTTGGGCTTAGAATCCAAATTATAATTTTACCCCTTTTTAGGCCCAATTCGTAATCAATTGCTCTAACAATTTAATTAATTCTTTTGGGCCAGATTTTGGGGCGTTACAGGGGAAGCAAGTAAGGGCCTCATTTAAGTCAAAGAACATTGTTTCTACGACTAGGCCATTACAACTTTTGCACATGGACCTTTTTGGACCTTCTAAACTATGAGCTTAGGAGGTAATTACTTTGGCTTTGTTATCGTTGATGACTATTCGAGGTTTACATGGACACTCTTTCTTGATCATAAGTATGATGCACTTAATGCTTTTAAGAAATTCATTAAATTGGTTCAAAATGAAAAAGACTCTCACATTGCATCCATTAGAAGTGATCATGGGGGAGAATTTGATCAAGACGGCTTTGATGTCGTTTGTGACGAATTAGGCATTGAGCATAATTTTTCAGCCCCCCGTACACCACAACAAAATGGCGTGGTTGAACGGAAAAATAGGTCTCTTGAAGAGATGGCTAGAACTATGCTCAATGAGGCAAACCTTCCTAAATATTTTTGGGCGGATGCCGTGAGTACCGCGTGCTACGTGTTAAA